TGTGAACTACCAAAGCTGAACAAACTCTATAATGAAGTCAAAAGAAAAGCAGTACACCCAGTCATTCCTGGAAGCAAGAATTACCCTGATACCAAAACCAGAAAAGGACCCTACCACAAAAGAAATCTACAAGTTAGTATCTTCAATGATTGTAGATAACAAAACCCCTCAATAAGATACTGACAAGCAGAATGCAGCAAATTGAAAATACCATATACTTTGGGACCAAGTACAATTCATTCCAGGGACAGAGGGATGATTTGGCATATGCAAATCAAAAAAGAATATGCTACATAAACAGAAACTGGGACAAAAATCACATGATCATTTCAATAGATGTAGGAATAGTATTCAGCAAAATCCAACCTGTATTCATGATAACAATCTTGAAGAAACTAGGTATAGAATGTCTTTATCTCAATTTGATAAAAAGCATCTAAGACAAACCAAATGTCACCATCATAATAAATGAAGAGACTTGAAAGCTTTCTTTATAAACTCAGGAACAAGATGAGGCTGTCCACCATCATCACTCTTTTTCAATATAGCTCTCAAAATATTATCCAAAGCAATTTGACAAGCAAAAGGAGCCAAACATGTTCACTAAAAGAGAGGTGACCTGTTTAACAACTGGTGCTGGGACAACTTGATTTCTACATGCCATAGATTGAACTGAGAACCATATGTCTCACTAAACTGAAATCAAAATGGTTAAAAAATCTAAGTATTTAAAAAATACTTAATGTGCTGTAAGGCAAAATAGATAAAACACAAAGATATAAGCATACACAAAGTCTTTCTGAAAAGAACTCTGGTTGGACAGGAATAAAACTAAGAATTAACTAAGAGTATCACATCAAGTTAAAAAGTTTTTGCATAGCAAAGGAAACTACCAATAGTGAAACAACAACCTTCAGAATGAGAAAATATTTTGCAAGTTACTCATCAGACAAAAGGTTTATGTGTGGAATATATAAGTAACTAAAAAAAATTAGACCACCCAAATTTAAAGACCCAATCAAAAATGGGCATCTAAAATGAGACACTTCTCAGATGAATAAAAGTAAAGGGTCAATGCATGAAAAAAGGTTCACTAGGACCCGGGATTTAGCTCAGGGACATAAGTGCCTGCCTGGCAAGTGCAAGGTCATGAGTTTGATCCCCCACACCAAAAAAAAAAAAAAAAAAAAAAAAAAAAAGGTTCATCATTACTGGCCATTCATGAAATGCAAATTAAAACAACACTGAGATCACATCTAACTCCAGAAATAATAGCTGTCATCAAAGCAACCAACGACAAATGCTTGGAGAGGCTATGGGGAAAAAGGAAGACTTTTTCACTGTTGAAGAGAATGGAAACTGGTACAATTACCATAAAAATCAGTATTGAGAGTGATCAAAGGACTAAAACTAGTAGAAGTTCCATTTGACCAAGCTTTTCCCCTTCTAAGTATCATCATGAACTAAAGGCATTATATCATAGTGATGTGCACATACGCATATTGATAACAGAACAATTTATAATAACTAGATCTTGAAAGCAACTTATATGTACATAAGTATATGAATAAAAATGTATTTATAAGTAATGGAGTACTATTCTGTAACAAGGAGAAATGTGAATCATTTTTAGGTATATGAATGCATCTTGAGATGATAATGTGAAGGGAAGTAAATAAGGCACAGAAGCTTGAATATTGCATGGTTTCTTTTGTATGAGAAGCTCAACAGATAAAGTGAAAGTAAAAGACACACAATAACAAAAAAATACTATTGTAATTCACCATGCACAATTTATCTAAAAGTTTTTCTTGATTTAGTATAATATTCTTCTATGTTTTTTATGATTTTTGTTTGTTACTCTGGCTGCTACTCTTGTGTTAATGATAATTAACTTGATAAACATTCACACAATTGGATGAGTGTAATTCTTAGATCATGGCTTGCCACATAATTTGAATATTTTGCAGGATAGTTATATTTCTAAGAATATGAATGATGCTCTATTTAAAAGAAAAATAAAGTATAAAATAATGGAATTTAGATAGAAGCAATAAAATAAGGTAGAAATGAGACAAAATATATCTTTCCATTTCTTTTTCTGTTTTATAATCTTTAAATACTGTGTTTAAACACTGTTCAAACACTGTGTTGGAGCTCTGTGTGTAGGCATGTTAATGAATTAAGGAATGCCTGTGTTTATCTCCCCTACATTTACCTTGCATATTCCATCCCCTGAACCCCATCCCACTTCAAGATGAAAGATATTGAGATAAGAGTAGATGAAGGAATTTTCAGAGTTAATAGAGGCAATGAGTTGCCAGGTTTTTACAATGCTCAGTTCCAGATCCTATACAGGACATTTAAAGTCTTCAGCTATTGTCCTAAACCTGTAGTCATCTCCAATTCCAGGAAAAGCAGAGCCTACAGTAGATCACCCCATGATGATGTCACTGCCTCCAAGCAGGAGAACTTACCCCACAATAGAAACTGAGGCACCTCTCCATACATAAACAAGAACGGTATCTCACAGGAAAAAAACATTTTCCTCAAACTTAAGGTCTCCTTTAGTGCTATAAAATCATGCCTGAGATAATCAATCCAACTCTGCCTCACATCAGCTAATTCATAAATATTGACTTAATGCTTTTGTAAGCCAGCCAGTCTGAATCCTTGCATCAGAATGAGTCTCTTCTGGTTATTCAAACTGGAATCCTTTTCCTGTTCTCCCTCACTTTCCAACTCTGCCCAATAAATCTGCTTATGCTTCTAAAAGTGTGTTGTTAGGAAGTGGGACTTAGAGGCAAGTCACTGGGGCATGACTACATCTTCTCTTCCCTCCTTGCTTCCTAGTCACTACATTGTGAATAATCTTTATTTTCCCAGGCATTTCTGCCATACCCTTCTGTCTTGGAATCAGTCAATCATGAACAAAAAGTGTGAACCAAAATAAAACTCTCCTCCTTTAAGATGTGGGTGTTGGGCATTTTGTCACATTGATGAAAAAACACTCACTAAAGCTAAGATACTCACTTTCAATCAAATGTAAACATTTCTCACCTCATCCTTGTGTACTTCATTGTATTTTCCAAAGTGCTGTCACATACAGCACCTACTATTTCTTACCAGTAATTAATTTCATTTTACAGCTGGTGCAGATGCACAGAGAAATGTAGTAGTCTGCCAAAGATCACAGCACCTTGGAGGTTATGTTTAATCTTCAATCACCTCCCAGTTTATTATGTTTATTGCACATGTTCCCATTTGACCAGCAAATCCTAGCTAATATGTCAGAGTGGCTACATCGTGTTTGACATTTTTCATAACCCCTAAATTACTAACCCATTTAATACTTGTGACAATCCTGGATGGCAGATATTATCATCATTACAAGGTAAGGAAGCAGACACAAGAGTAAATGGTTTGGTCAAACTCAAAATGGAGAAAATATTTGAATAGAAGTAAAGTGGTTCTGGAGAATATGTCAACCAACTATGCTATGCTAACCTCTCAGAGTTTAGTTCCTTTCTTTAAGAAAACGTTTTGGAATAGTAGTCTGGAATTTAGACAACTGGCATCTAGGTCCTGCCACCAGAATTAAAACATGTTACATGATATTACACACTCTGGCCTTTTTCCTCTTCTGTGACATCTTGGAGCAACTAAACAAGCTGCAAGTAGCTTGCTGGCTATCCATACTGAATGATGGCCAATTGCTGCTTGAGACAAAAGTAGCATTCTTAAATTTTTAAATATGTGGGAAGTGTTTTGGAAATAACTGTGGTCTATGGACTTTATTGGAGAAGAATCCAGAATAACTACTCAAGTCTTGTATTGTCCCTTGTCCACTCTTTAGTCATGCATATTTCCAATTTCAGTCCCTGAAAACATAAAATGGCCAACCTTATCCTTCTGGAAGAAGCATAACTCTGCTAGGGAGCCAATAGTCCTTTGGCACAAAAAGAATCTTGAAAGGTGAACCAGATACATTACAATGATGTTCCATGATACTGTAGTTCCGTTTCAGTCCCTGCAATCTTCACATTCAATTGGAACTGGTAATTTTTTTTGGCCAACAGAAATTCCAGAATTATGTCACTTCCTCTGCATACTTAATGATTTCCAAAGAACATTGTGTAGTCTAGCCCTAGCTTTTGGGAGCTCTCTTCCCAATATCATGAAGTAAAATCTGTATCTTGGGTGGAATTGTTTGTGGAAGATTCATAATATTTTTATGTTTAGGCTCAGCCAAACCATTGGAAACCTTGGTAGTAAAGGTCATGTACATAATATTTTCAAATTACTTCTGCATTTTTGAAGGCTAGCATGTAATGTTATGACTGTACCAGTCCAGAAAAAATAATGCTGCATTTCTTTAAATCTCTATCTAATCCCTATCTCATTAAGGGCCAAGGAATTTTCCCACATTACAAAAAGCATGTGAGTGCCCTGGAAACTGGGCAATAATATAATTTTTTAAAAATGGAATTCCTGCATTGTATTGTTTAGCAATTATTAAAGACAATCTTTGATTGTAGATCTCCCAGCCACACAGAGTCTCTTTTCTGAACTTTAGTATGGAAAGTTTCATACCCTGGCTTAGGTTAGTAGGAAGATTATGGGTAGGCTACCTTGAAGAAGATAGAAATGGAAAAAGTTTGAGGAGAACAGAGATCAGAATTAGGAGGGAGATGAGGCTGTTTTTCCTGAAATTAAGGGCTATTTAAGGCCTTGGGTTTCCAAACACACAGGCTTCCTCTCCTCTCTCTCATTATAGTTACACAATTTTAGCTATGGTTTTCCACACTGGCAGAAAATTAACAACTCATCTTACACTTGATTATATCTGTGTTTGGTGACCTCTTCAGTGGGAAGGGGCTGACAGTCCTTGAATTGGGCAACATGGGGGAAAGAAGTAATTATTATACTCACTTCACAAGGAATGATAATAATTGGAACTCAGGATTCAACAGAAAGTTTAGTATAAAACATCTTTTTCCTGTGCTTTAGCCTGCTCCTTAGGTACTTGGGCTTGCTTCTTAGCTGCTTTGGCCTGCCTTTTTTCTGCTACCTTGGAATGAACAGTTCTTCTGTAGACTCTCCCACCATAGTCTTTCTGTCTTGAAACTAGCTGATGAAATCTAAAACCCGAGACAAAATAATCTCTTTCTCTTTAAATTGTACGTGTCAGATATTTTGTCTCAGTGACAGCAAAGTCATTTATATACCTCCATTATGTATTCAAACTCTGAGACAGCTCTTCAGGTTTCTGCAAATGCCCTTCTGATCTTCTTTCTAAAAGAGAAAACAGGAATTAAATTTTATTTCCTTCTCCACCCAATGAAGTTTAAGTACTTCTGGAAAACCTAATGCTCCTTCGGCCAGAAACTTCCAGGTATGAAGGAAGCAATTTTACTGGTGTTATATAATCATAGCCCCACAAAGTGGGAGGAGGAAAATAAGATCTCAGAAGCTTCTGAAATGTCTTAAAGGAGGTCTTTTTTGTGATGATTATCACAACTGAGGCAGCATTCTACCTTAATAATACACCAATGTGATTACTGCTCTGGAACCTCTCAACTGTATCATACCTTTCCTTCCTTCCATGACCTTTCTTCTTCCTTCCTGTCAGACAACAATTTCTTTAACAAATCCTTGGGATTGAAAAACAGTCTTGGTCTCTTGATATTTTAAGGTCCCATTTGTATTGGAATGGGTAAAGTTCCAACTGTTTTTCAATGACAGGGATGGAAGCAAGGATAGGCTTAAATAAAAGACACAAGACCTGGGGCCGAATCTCAGTGTTAAAGCATTTGTTAGCATGTGTAGTGTTCTGAGTTTTACCTCCACATGCTGGAGGTACTCTATACCCTATTTCTGTGGATTGTAATATGAGACATGTTTTTTTTTTTTTTTGTCTTTTTCATTTTTATCGGTACCAGGGATCGAACTCACGACTGCCTGCTTGTAAGGCAGGTGCTTATGCCCCTGAGCTAAATCCCCAGCCCTGAGACATGTTTTTAAGGATGGTTAGGTGTGCCACTGTTTGCTCAGAAATTTCTGACCGATTAGGGGAAGTATTATCCACAGGCTTCAGAGTTCTGTCCTGTCCACAGAATACCATGTCACTAGGAAGTGAGTCATTGGTTGTCCATGGAGTCTAAGGCTTGGTCTTGACCTGCTTCTGGAGAAGTTGTTTATCATGTAACTTGGTTCCTCATTTTAAGCAGTCATGTTTTAGCTCACTTCTTGGGCATCTGTAAATTTTTACTGTTTTCTGGATATTCTTCTTAGCTTAAGGAGTAGATAATAAGCTATAGTCAGGTAAAGCTGCTTTCAGGAAACTGTCCAAGACCACTAGTTTTGCTTCTCATTACTTCTAGTTAGTGCATGCTTCTTGGGATTCTGCATTTTCTAGTCTGTTGTAGTCTTCACACTGGCACCATTAATGCCATCTTTGACTTCCTGAAGACACAGTTCAAGCTCCATATACAGGTAAGCACTGGGGGAATTATTGGTCACTATTCCCAGGGGGAAATAGTAGCTCCATTCAGCTGAATGGGGAGCTTGGCAGTATTGAGGGGATAGGACATAAAGACTCATAGTTATGCCCAACATGAAGCACAGGATCAGCACTGCAAATGGAATAAAACAATGTGACTAAGAAACTATGAAAAGGTTGTCTCCAAAGGATTAATTGGAACACAAAAGGAGGTAAGGAGTATGGCAGGCAATGTTGCCAACTTTGTGCATTTCTCCAGAGACCCAACATGGGCTCGCTTCTAGAGAAAGTTGAGGTCCAAGCCCTTAACTTAGAGGCTTGTGTTATAGTAGAAGTCACGGAAGAACATAAAAGGTGTGTGGAATGCAAGTGAGAGCATCATAGATGAATGTAAATTAACTGTTATTTTTCCCAGGACTCAGTGCACTGGTCTCACTAATACAGTAGGTATAAAAGAGGTAAAGCAAATCTCAGATTCTGCCCATATTACTAAGCATGTCTGTACGCACCATTGTCACCTTTGTATCTGTTAGGGCCCTGCATATTTACTCATTTATTTTTTATTTTTGTCTTTTTCCTTTTTATCGGTACCAGGGATCGAACTCGCAACTGCCTGCTTGCAAGGCAGGCGCTTATGCCGCTGAGCTAAGCCCTGCATATTTAGCCCTACTCACAATGATCTCTGCTTTGTAAACTTAGCCTACACCTACAGCTAAATGTGACCTATAAATTTTAAGATACAATGTGATCCAGGTGTGTAGAAGGGAGTGGGGAAGAGATACAGACATCGTGAGGAAAGAGGCATGTTCTCCTGGGAGTCAGTGAAACATATACTGGGAATTTATGAGACAGTTCTAGACTAAATTTTCCACTATCTTACTATATGACTTCAGGCTGAAAACTACCTTTACTGAGGCCTTCCTGTAAGTTAAAGAGGGTAGACTAGAAAACTAAGTTCAAGGATCCTTTATATATAACAACATCAGTACATTGTGAGAAGATTGCAAGATGTCTCTAGGTTCCAAGGTTACCTGGGGGCATAATTATATACTTGCTCCTCAAATCTTAGTTTCCTATGTATCTCCTCTACCTATGGGATGGTGCCCTAGCTGAGTCTGTATTTTATCTATTGTTCATTGTTTTCTTTTACTAATCAGATTTTATAGATACATTTTAGATATGCATAATGATCACATTAATTATAGAGAATTTGTATCTGTACATGATATAACTTGATTCTTTTCCTCCTATTCTCCTAGCTTCCCTTTGAACCCTCCTCCCTCTCCATTTACAAAAGTTTTGTTTCCATTTTTTTCCTGGTTTTCTTGTTTTTTTCCCTTTCATCTCCTTTCCTATGCCCCCTTTTTTGTTCCCTCCCTCATTTGAACATTTTCTTCTTGTTTCACAATCTGTAGTATTCATTGTGCTCCTTTGTTTACACTTTTGGTTTCTCAGCTCTATGAAGATCTGAGAAGCTATGCATTATTTACACATGTGTGTCTGATTTGTTTCATTCAAGAATATATTCTCAAGGTACATGCATTTACCTAGAAATGTCTTGAATGTATCTTTTATGGCAGAGCAGTACACCATTGTGTAAAACAACACACTTTCTTTTATCCATTCAGCTGTTGATGGGCTGTTTTCAAGATTTGGCTGTTATAAACTGTATCACTATAAACATAGGTATACATATAATGCTGTGGTTTGATGCATTTAATTGTTTCAGGAATACTAAAGAGGAGAAGAGCTGGTTCAAATTGAATCTGTGGTCCTGGTTTTTCGAGAATCTTCCACACTGATTTCCACAGCGGTTGCACCAGTTCACACTGCTAACAACAGTGGACAAGCATTCATTTTTCTCCAGAGCCTCACCAGCATTTGTTATTTGTTGATTTCTTGGTAATAACCATTCTTTCTGGGGTGAGATGGAATCAGTATTGTTTTAATTTGCATTTCTCAAATGACTGGTGATGTTAAACAGTTTTTTTATAAATTTATTTGCCAGCTGTATTTCTTCATCTGAGAATTATATGTTCATCTCAAATGCTCATTTTTTGATTGGGTCCTTAAATTTGGGAAGGGACTGAATTTTCTGAGTTCTTTATATGTTCTTGATACTAATTTTGTCTCTAAAAGCAGCTAGTAAAATTTTTTTCCCAGTCTGTGGGTTGTCTTTTCATTATGTTGGTGGTTTCTCTTGCTTTGTAAAATCTTTTTAATAAGATGAGATCCCAGTTTTTGATTCATTATGATAGTTCCTGTGTGACCAGGGCTTTGTTCATAAGATCTTGGCTACACAAATGTAGCCAAGGGTTCTACCAATTCTATCTTTTAGCATCTTTAATGATTTTGCTTTATTTAGATCTTTGATCTGTTTTGATTTCAGTTTAGTGCATGGTGAAATATATGAGTCTAATTTGAATCTTTGGCATGTTCAAAGCCACTTTTTTTCCGGTGCTATTTATTAAAGAGGTAGTCTTTCTTCCGGTGAATGTGTCTTGCACCTTTGTCAAAGGTGAGGTATGTCTGAAGCTGCTTCTGCATCTTCTAATTAGTTCCATTGGTCTTTGGGTCTAGCTTTTTTTTTATTTATTTTTTTTTGCCAGTACAATGCTATTGTTGTCACAGTAGCCTTGTAGCATAACTTCAAGTCAGGCATCGTATAGCCCCTTGTCTTGCCTTTGTTTCACAGAGTTGTTTATGCTGTTTAGATGTCTTCTGGTCACAAAATAATTTTAGTATTGCTTTCTTTTATTCTATAAGATATGCTATTGGTATTTTGATCAGAATTGCCTTAAATCCATATAAAAATTTTGGTATTATTACCATTTTTAGTCTATTGGTTCTTCCTATCCAAGAACAAGGGATATATTTCCATTTGTTTTTATTAAATAGAGGGAAAAAACAGAAAAAAACACAAAAGAGACAATTGACAAAAAACCCCAAACAATAACAATATAGGCTTTCAAAACAAGATGATAGGAATTTAATATTAGTTGTTTTATTGCATGTCATTATCTTCAAAAGAGTTGCTTAGATTATCAGATATAGACAAGCAAAATTGATGTAATTGTATAAGTATTAACCATTCTTTTCCAAAAACCAATAGAATTAGCAGTATAATCATCTTAACTATCTTATGTGTATATATGTATATATATACAATTTATATACATAATTTGTGCATAGGCATATGTTCAAATATATACAATTTATATACATAATTGGTGTATATACATATGTACAAATTTATATCTTATTCCTTTTACCTTCCTTTTTTCCTCCTTACCCCATCTCAGTTACTTTTTCCCTTTGAGCAGTTTCTTACACCTATACAATATTTATTGTAGATTTTGGATCTTATTTGCTCTTTCAGTTTCTTACACTAAGGAGACAACAAAGTATTTACAGATGTGAGTTTGATTTATTTCACTTATGAGTATGGGCATAAGTAGCATCCATTTACTTACAAAAGCCTCTATACAACACTTCTTTATAGCTGAGTAGCACTCCATTATATAAAAATACCACATCTTTTTTTATCCCTTCCTTGATTGATGGGCACTTGGGTTGTTTCCAAGATTTGGCTATTACAAATTGTTCTCCTATAAATATGGTTGCACATACATCTCTGTAGTATGATTTTTTGAATTCTAGGAAAATACTCAGAAACAGGAAAACTGGGTTAAATGGGACCTCTAATCCTAGCTCTTTGAGGAGCTTCCACACTGATTTCCACAGTGGTTCCACCAGTTTACATTACCACCAACAGTGAAGAAGAGTTCCTTTTACCCCACAACCCCTCTACATTTGTTATTGCTTGATTTCTTGATCTTGGCCATTCTTTCTGGAATGAGATGGAATCTCAGTGTTTTTTTTTAATTTCAATTTCTCTAATGACCAATGATGCTGAATACTTTTTTCACATATTTGCCACCTGTATTTCTTCATCTGAGAAGTGTATATTCATCTCAGATGCCCATTTTTGGATTAGATCTTTGAATTTTGAGGGCTTGACTTTTCAAAATTCTTTATATGTATATGTTCTAGATAGCAGTCCTTTGTCTGAGGAACAGTAGTTGGTCAAGGTATTTTCCCAAATGGTCCGTTTTCTTTTCACTCTATTGGAGATTTCTTTTGACACTAAGAAGCTTTTTAATAAGAAGAGATCCCAGTTGTTGATTCTTTGAAGGATTTCCCACATTGTTTGATTTTTATTCATGAATTCTCTGCCTACTTCTATGACTTCAAAACTGGTACCTACTTAGTCTTCCTGCAGATTCAATGTTTCTGTTTTTAAGATTTGGATCTTTGATTTATTGTGACTTTAGGTTAGTGAATGGTGATAGATAGGGGTCTAGTTTTAGTTTTTGGCATATGGAAAACCAGCTTTTTCAGCAATGCTTTTTAAAGAGGCTATTTTTCTTGTGAACATTTTTGGTCTCTTTATCAAAGATGGTGGCTGAATATGTTTGTAGTTGTGGCTATATCTTCTTGTATTCCAGTATCATGCTAATTTTACCACAGTAGCTCTGTAGTATAATTTCACATCAGGGATTTTGATGCCTCCTGCCTTGCCTTTGTTGCCTAGAATTGGCTTTTCTCTTCTAGGTCTCCTCTGCTGACAGATGAATTTTAAGAACAATTACTCTAGATCCATGAGATATTCTAATGGTATTTTGTTTGGAATTGTGTTAAATCTATATAACTATTTTGGCAGAATGGCCATCTTCACAATGTTTGTTCTTACTATTCATGAACAGGAATGTCTTTCCATTTTCTAAAATTCTCTTTGATTACTTTTTTAGAGTACTGTAATTTTAAATGTATCAATTTTTATTTCCCTTGTTATATTAATTCTTAAGTATTTAATTTTTTTGGATGCTATTGTGAAAGATGTGTTTTCCCTTATTTCTCTCTCAGCAAGTTTCTTGTTTGTGTATAGGAATGGTATTGATTTTTGAGTGTTAGCTTTGTACCCAGCTACACT